AAGTTCCTCGTACTATTAAAAGTAGGTTTATAATTTACATACTGCTTAAGAGTACGTTTATAACATAGAGTCTAATGTGGAGGCCCGACTATTACACTATTTCCTCTAAACTATTTGCTAGTAGTTCGTTATTGGATGAACCTCTACGGTCTTTGTGCATCCTTGAACCCGTGCCCAACCCAAATGAGCTATGACCTGCTCTTGACCTTCCGACACTCTGCTTGCGTGTTGATATGGCCAACAACTTATAATCATTAACCGCCTTCTTGTCAGAAATATTAATAGGGGTAATATAAAAACACTCTGACTTAATATCAGAAAGGTTACCTTTATCGTCAGAGGCAGCAAGTGAACTTGCATTGCTGCTGTCAAAGTAGAGTCGGGGCTTCTTTGACTGTGAAGCATTGTGTATATTGAGTTAGTAGAAAACTGATAGTGAAAAGCATATATAATTACAGTTATATGTATGTTTTATATACTATGATACGTATCTAATGCACATATAGTTTACTAAACACATGCATAAACAATCAACAAGGCACTCAATAATCCACAAGCATTATAGGGATAATAATATTTATTTCAAAAATGGCAAGTATGTACGATACAATGTATGAACATATGGTATGGCTCTCATAGTCGCTGTAGTGGTTCAGGAAAGATTGATGGGAAGAAGTGGTCAGTAAATTCCCGTTTCAAACTTGGGCCAAGTGAGTCGACAATGGAAGATATGTGCTGAGTCAATTCGGGCCGGTGTTGACAAAACACTGTTACTATCGAATGTTCCATATATTCGCTTGCTGACCTACTCAGTAGAGTACCCACCTCTGTGGTACGGATCGGGTCTGCACCGTGTAGTGCCGCGTACACTCAAGTATCTATACTAGATTTATAGGGATAATACTATTTATTATACTAGATTTATAGCACAATATTGTATGTACATATATAAATATAGTTCTATGTATGTTGATAACTAATTCATTTTAAAATATATTAATGTCCTGAAACAAAATCAGATTCCAGAATTAGAGCCAATGAATTTACAGATATACGAATTTGAATTGGCATTTTCATTAGTGGGATAGTATCCGATGAGTGCTACTTAAAATTTGTACTGAGTCTGGCTTACTTTGAAAATTAATAAAGTTGGTATGATTTGTTAATATCCCAGTTAGCAAAAGGGACTGGTGATATATATATTGTATTTACAAATGGCATATTTCAGAAATGTGGCATATTTTAGAATTATGGCATATTTATAAAAAAAGATGGCATATTTTAGAAATATGGCGTATTTAAGTCATATTTAAAATAATATGCCAATTTTTCACCATATTTATTATCGAAAAATATGTATTCCTCGGTCAGGCGTAGTGTGAAAACATATTATGTACGTTTTTGTTATCGTACCAACATTCGGAAGTGTAAGCGTATACGTATTGGAGCCACGCATGAGGTACAAATCACAATACCGTACTCTGTAGACTGTCTGTTGCAATTTTGCAAGACGAGACTATTCTCTGCTCTCTCTACATACTCTCTCTCTACTCTAGTAGAGTACATAGAGAGAGTAGAGGAGTGGGGACTGCCGGGACTAAGCCGCTCAGGAATCAGGAGGCAGAGACTCCAGGGCCCCGGCCCCAGCGCCCAGGTAGTATGTAGATGTACTATTTGCTGCATATCTACGAAGATATAATTTTATATAAATACACATAAATACGTCGCATTTGTATAGGTAGAATATGTAGAGAAAGAGTAGACTCAGACACTCAGTAGAGTAGAGAACTCACGTTTCACAGTCACACTGTCAAACAGTCGCAGGACTAGCAGAGTGACGCAGTCACGCAGACACAAAATCTTGTGATAAAAATCGGTAAATCTAAAATCAGTTTTATGAAAAATGACGGTAATACATATCGGAAGTAAATATATATAACTCTCTATATATTATAATATTAGAGGGAGCGAGCAGAGGCCGGGATGTTTAGTTTAGAAGGCTATGGAGCGAGCAGAGGCCGGGATGTTTAATTTAGAAGGCTATGGAGCGAGCAGAGGCCGGGATGTTCAATTTAGAAGGCTATGGAGCGAGCAGAGGCCGGGGACGGAACAAAACATATGAAAATAAAAAGCTCCACTGTTCTAGAAGTTAAATAGGTTCTATGTAACTAAATTCGCGGTTCCCACACATTCTGGACCCTACTTTTATATACCACGCGTGAGTACTAATATTTGAAAACATGCGTAGATATCACGAACAAATGTGAGATGCTATGTATGGCAAATTCTATGAGGAAATAGTAGCGTGTTCCAACCGTATATATAAATTTATGGAAATGGATATATACATATATAATATATATATGATCTAAAACACTACAAATATACCAGCAAAATTTATGATCGGACTGACTGGTGGCAACACATACAATGTACATCAGGATGAGAACCTCTGTATTAGGAAGCCCATATGGCCAGCCCCAAGGATTAGGGCAAAGAGTTTAGATAAATACGTGTCCGTTGGACAACGCTTGCCCTGTAGGTCTCTTAGAAGAGTCAAAGGAACTCCATCGCAAAGCAATAGCGGGATTGATTGTATCTAAGTCACAAGGGGTAGTTCGCTATTCCGGTACAAGTAGTGCATTCCTACTAGACCCTACTCCTTTCAAACAAGAGTGCAATTTTCCAGTGCTCCGTGAGCGTGACAACTCGGGGTTGCATCCTGACAATCCGGCGAAAGTCGGTCATGTGGCTTTACAGAATATACCCAATACAACTGGTTTGGTAGCGAGTGTAGAAAGCCATACTGCGACCCCGAGACAGTCGTTCTTAGCTTCTACCAACACAGGTCAAAGTAACTTAAAAACTCTTGGTTCAGGCTCACTTGTAGTTTCGGGTCTCAATTCAAGTTACAGTGCGTATACCAGCGTCGAAAGAAACAGAGATACAGACAGCAAATTAGACGAGTGTATAAGTAGAAATGTATATATTTTCTTAAGATGACCATGTGTGTGATGACGACCCTAGTGGGTGCGACTGTAGGTTAGATTTGGAGGACGCTTTAGTGACGTTAATGGCCGAAAGCTGTTCTCTACCCGAATCTTGATGCGCCTAGAAAAGCAGTTCTGCTTGGTGCTCGTTTTGAAGTTTACACTATCACCGCCTGCACTATTAGCTTGTCCCATTGGTTATCTGTTATGTGATAGCAAAGTCGACTGATCTTAGATCTCCAAGGGATGAGCTGTAATTTGACGACAGAGAAGAGCAGCTTTCATCTGGGGTGCTCAGATATACTTGCGACAATAGAAACATTTTAACGTCTTTGCGCAACGAAAGGGTACTGTACATAAGCCGTATCTGCAAGCTTATCTCTTGAGACCAGTAAATGAGAATATTGCATCGCACACACACACTTGTACATGAACCCTCAGATACTCATTGTTCGATCATACGTTTGCCATAAGCTCACTACTTGTAATGATTATTTGATGCACGTCGAATAGCTCCCGCTCTTAAATTACACAGTCGCTGTCCAAATGATGTGCAAAACAAAACCCAAATACACGCCCGGCATTTATAACACATGTATACTCCGAATAGATGTGTCCATGTGAATGCACACGCGAGATTCGAAGGCTTTGTGGAGCACTACCTGAACATGGACACCGAAAAAGAAAGAAGGAAATTGGCCACTCAAGACGAAGGTATCATCAGAACATACAGTGGTTTTAGACAAACTCAGCGTCGCCTTTAACATCTCATCACTGGGCGATATGCTTGATAAAGATTGGCGTGGTACCAAAAAAATATACCCGAACACACTTGTACATACATATATACATAAATGAATGTAATGGACGTGTAAAGCGAACCAACGTCGGTGTTACACGTAAAAACAACTCTCGATATAGCAATATACGATAGGTAGTTTGTGCACAATGGTCAGATAATAATTTTTTCTTATCTTAAACTGGACGGTATAGCGGAAGCTACATTAAAGTAAGTAAATTGACTGAGGCGCTGGATATATGTAGGAAATGTCGGATTGAAAACAAAAGTAAATCATTGACAAGAGCGCTGCTCTGCAGCACCTATAAGCTCATCTGAGAAGTTTTCCACAGTACCTCCTTACATACACGCTGTCCACCACACTAGAATGTCAAATCCAATACTCCGCACAGAATCGTGCACCTCCTACTTAAACTGGAACGTAGAACGTAAATCACAAAGACACAATAGATAGTCATACAGTTAGAGCAGCACGCAAATACAGTGACAACGGAAAACACACACAGCTTTTAATATAGAGAGTATCCATTCTGTTCCAACCAGGATAGTATTATATAAATAAATACAATCTCGGGCGTGGTTTGCTCGCGATACGTTTTTCAGATTTATGTCAACTGATAGTAGAAAACACGGTTTAAAAAAAAAGAGAGGAAAAAACAAACAAAAACCAGATACATATCAAAAACAGGTCTTGTTGTCAAATAAAAACTGTTTGGGTTTTGGGATGTCAATAATAACAGGAAAACTAAGTTTGAAATAATATGTTGAAGTTTCGTATTTGGCTATTATGGAGAGTTTGAGAAACTTTCGCCAATATCAGCGTACATATCCCACGTGTATAAACTAAAAATATATTATTCAAGAAAAATATAAACGTTGTTTGTTGTATCTCTTATTTGCTGGTGCTCGAGAGTAGTAGTTGTAAATAGGAATATAATAATCAAAGAGTTCGCATTATGTAGTATAGAGATGACTTTAAAACCAAGAGAGAATTAAAAAAAACTATAAACAAATTTGATAAAAAACTGAAATATCTTCTGAATTTTGTGTTCAGCTCCAAAATATTAGACTACTCCAACCTTATAGGTCAACTGTGCACGTGTATGTAATTTTCCTGTCCTGAATACTGACACACACAGTCCAATTCACACACACTCATACCAATCTACACTACAATACACTCCATCACACACGCATACATAGTCAAGAGAATGGGTGAATCCAAGACAAAGAAGTCCTCAGATGAGGAGGAGACAGAGTTCCAGATCCAGCCCAGCAAAGTTAACCCTGTTCTAGACACATCCAATTGGCCTTTGTTGCTTAAGAACTATGATCAACTCAATGTACGCACAGGTCACTACACACCTCTACCCTTTGGGTCATCGCCGCTCAAGCGAAACATACGTGAATATGTGCAGTATGGAGTTATGAATTTAGATAAACCTGCTAACCCCTCATCGCACGAGGTGGTGGCGTGGATTAAGCGCATTCTGAGATGCGAGAAAACTGGACATTCTGGTACTTTAGATCCCAAGGTCACGGGCAATCTTATCGTCTGTGCTGATCGTGCCACTCGATTGGTAAAGTCACAACAAGGTAAATGTATATATATATATATATATATATACACTATTTAATATATATATGCACACACACACACAG